GATGTAAATTTACTTATAATCAAGTTACTTTATTTTGATGATATTCTAATATTTTGTCAAAATAAGTATGTTTTTGAAGCACAATGTTAAAGAGTTGATTCCCTCGAAATCATCGTATCCCACATTCATTTACAACAAATAAATGAATGAAGAAGAATCCAAGAAAATGCACGACTGTGACTTCTTATGCTGTCTCTGAATTTTCCTATGCTGCTTCTTGTCTCACATAGGGAAAAAAACAAAAATGGGGATGCAAACTGGTTTTTTCCTGTTATGCTTGCGCCAAGGATCGTTTCCCTTGTTTTCATCGGCATTCCTGTCTCGGTCTAATAATAAAGCCAAAAGACGAAAAAGGTTATAAATACACAAACGAAAGTGCATTACATTCTTAGACAGTAACAAGCAATCAGCATAAATGGAGCAATTAAATATGGCATTGACAATGATAAAGCGCGATGAGAATGCAAGAAGGCGTCAAATGCGCAATATAGACAGTGATCTGTCACCTGAACCAAGGAATATTAAGCGCAGAAGACATGAAACGGCTTCTACTGCTGCTGCAATCAGCTGTGAAGGTCGACTGATCAAACAAGAAGTCGATCCAACTGCTCCAACAACAGTGAAGAGAAGTTCAAGATTCCGAGGTGTAAGCAAGCATAAATTGACAGGTCGATATGAAGCACACTTGTGGGACAAACTCTCGTGGAATGTAACTCAGAAGAAAAAGGGAAAACAAGGTAACTTACTTGGTCTCGTTCGCCACTATTTTCAGCTATATTTCTAATCAATGCTGGTGCCTGACATGAAATCTTCTGTTTTCTTCTATGGACTGTACTCTGGACTGCAAAACTCTAAATGAACAGTTTATCTTGGTGAGTATAATTTTACCAAAATGTGTACATGTATCAAAGTGAGAATTGTTAAGACAAGTGCATTGATTTATTAATTTTTCTCAGGGGCATTTGATGAAGAAGAAGCTGCAGCGAGAGCATATGATTTAGCTGCACTCAAGTATTGGGGGACATCGACATTTACCAATTTTCCTGTATGATTATCAACTGGGATATGCTCATATCGAACTCTGTTAATGCGAAATGCAACCTCCAGACTAATGAATTCACTGATATTTTCTGCAGATATCTGATTACGAGAAGGAAATTGAAATAATGCAGACTGTCACGAAAGAAGAGTACTTGGCCTCACTAAGAAGGTAATATTTCACTATCTTATTTGACATAATTAAGGATTTCGAGCAATAAATGGATGCAAACTAAATATATTTTCTTTACTGCAGAAAAAGCAGTGGATTTTCAAGAGGGATATCAAAGTACAGAGGAGTTGCCAGGTATAATATGAGTACTACATAAGAAATTAATTTCATTATTGAAGATTTTGGGGAATTACGCTAAACACATCAATGGCAAAAAAATGCAGACATCATCACAATGGAAGGTGGGAAGCTAGGATAGGAAGAGTTTACGGAAATAAGTACCTCTACCTTGGAACTTACAGTAAGTCACGGCAAAAATAATGCCTCAGATAATTCATAGTAAAACAGAAGGAAAATTTTTTATTGCCATGTCAA